GGGGAGGGGGGGGGGGTTTCCCCGCGCCTTCGTGACGTAGCAGCCGCCGCCGCCAAGTTATGAATGGGGCCGCCGAGGCTCCGCCCCCGCCGCAGTTCCTCCGCGCTGATTGGTGCGCCCGGGCACAGATTGACAGCCACGCTCCGCCCCCTTCCTCCCGCGTGGCCGCGCTGATTGACAGCGACGCGGCCCAATAAGGAGCTGCAGACGGCCGCGGCCAATCAGCGACGACGGGGCCGGGCGTGAGGCGTGAACCTCTTAAAGGCGCCGCGTCCGGGGGCCACGTGGGCAAGCCCCGACGGGGCGGGGCTCCGCCTTAAGCCCCGCCTCCCCCTTCCCTCCCCCCTCTGCCCGCCTTCGCTGTGACATCAGGGAAATTCCCTGAAATTTCCTGCATTTTATGGACTCGCTCCTCGGCTTTATTTTGGGAAAGCAACAAGTTTAATGGAGGAGGCGCCGTGGGGGCTGGGCGGGGTGCCCGGACGCCTGGGCCCTCTGCCGCACCATGGGGCCCAGCGGTTAGAACGAGGGGGGGCCCATCCAGCAGCCCGGACGCCTGGGCCCCTGTGCCCCCCTGCTCTGAGGAATCCACCCCCCCACGCACCCCGAGGGGCCCAGCTGTCCAGCCCTGCGGAGGGCCCAGGCGTCCGGGCGGTGGCGGCGCCCGACTCCTGTTCCTGCTGAACTGAGCCAGTTTAGGCAAAGCAACTGCGTATCAGCTCAGTAGGCACGGGAGGCAGCGCCCGGCGCGGGCCCGGCCGGGGGGCGCGGGGCCCCGGCGTCCGGGCGCGAAGGGGCCCCGGCGCGCGGGCGCCCCACTCACCCCTCGATGCGCGTGGGGTACATGGACCCGAACGACGTCTGGCTCTCGTACTGCGGGGACAGGCGCGCAGGGCAGCCTATAGGGGGCGCCCTACAGGGGGGCACCTACGGGCGGCGCCCTATGGGGAGCCCCTGGAAAGGCCCCTTACAGGGACCCTTCCACACACCGCGCCCTGTATCAGAGCCCTATGGAGCCCCATGGGCTCCTCGGGGGCCTGCGCAATCCCATACGGTTCCACACGCTCCATAAAGCCCCGGGAGATCCCATGGGTCCCCATAGGGCCCCAGGTGATCCCATAGGGCTCCACAGGCTCCATAGACCCCAGGAGATCCCATAGGGCCCCATAGACCCCGGGAGATCCCATAGGGCTCCACAGGCTCCATAGACCCCGGGAGATCCCATAGGGCCCCATAGACCCCGGGAGATCCCATAGGGCTCCACGGGCTCCATAGACCCCGGGAGATCCCATAGATCTCCATAGGGCCCCAGGGGACCCCATAGGGATCCAAAGGGCCCTGTGGGGCTCCACAGGCTCCATAGGGCCCTGGTGGATCCCATAGGTCTCCATAGGCTCCACAGAGCCCTGGGAGATCCCACAGGGCTCCACAGGCTCCATAGGGCCCTGGGGGATCCCACAGATCTCCATAGGGCCCCGGGGGATCCCATAGGGTTCCATAGGCTCCAGAGGACTCCGGGGGATCCCATAGGTGCCCATACGTCCCCATAGGTGCCCACAGGGCCCCAGGAG